TAATATCAATACAGAACCTTAAGCTTAACAAGTAGCCTGTAGGCTACCGGTGTTGGGTTCTGTGTCCAGCTACTACATTCATTTTGCCCCCAAAAGATTCTTAGAGACAAGGAGTCTCTAAGAATCCTCTTCCCTTCCCCCCCTCACACACAATATGTGTGAGGGGGGGAAGGGAAGCTCTCAACCAGAGAGCTATTTGTAATGATAGGGGGGGCCCAGAAAATGTTTGGAGACCGCTGGGGGGGCAGGAGAAAAAGTTTGGGAACCACTGGTCTAGAGCATAAAAAGCTACGGCGAGCTTTGGTTTGCTTTCTTTAAAACCATCGCTTTATGTTTAGGATCGTTGTGCTGGAAGGTGAAACTCTATTCAACTGTATTTTTACCGTTTTGTAATGCAATTCTCCTATTAATGTAGGAGAGCCATAACATAAGAGCTGAAGTCACTGGCTCCATTTTCTCTTTACATAAATGAGCTATTTTTACAGCATAATTGTCATGTCTGTCTTCATTTATACGGGAAGGGAACCGTTACTAAAATAATCCGTACAGAAAGATTCAGATACTTAGACATTAACCTTCATCCAAACGCTGGTGTTTCCTACCTATTCGGTGTAAAATAATCCGGGGAGTCCGGGAGAAATCCAGCAGTCTGCGCTGATCATCCATCTCTTCCTCCGACTTGACGATGATTCCTTTAAACTCTGTGAAAGTTTCGTCAGCAGGATTAACTACACGTTTAAGCTGGACTGAAGACATGTTGTTTTTTACAGAAACACTCGAACATTTAACAGAACAAAGCATGCGCCATCATCTTCCTCTTCCTCCCTTCTCGTTTTCTTCTTCTTTTTCCTTTTCATGGCCGTTGGCAAGCAACTTATAGGTGCATTAACGCCACCTTCCAGATTGGAGTATGGATCACAAGTTTAACTATTAAAATCTCCCCATAACACCTGTTCTTAGGAAATTAAAAATACTGCTAAAACCTACATCCCCTGATGATCTCTGTGAAACAATTGTCTAATATCTAACTTATTTTTATTTCTACTTAAATCTCTAAGTAACACCTCTCTTTCCCGAACATATTTATTACATTCTAAGAAAATATGTTGTACTGTTTCTAATTTTCCACAGTAATTAGAGCAACATGTATTATGTTTATTAATTATTTTAAGAGTACTATATAATCCTGTATGTCCAAATCTTATTCTAGATATAGGCTAATATCTTCCTTTTTATTTCTATTACATTTTCTTAATTGCTGGGTTTCAGTCACGTGACCCAGATGATGCGCGAAATTCAGATGGAGGTCCAGAAGGGGACTTCTAGAGCTGATGTCCTAAATAGGCTGGAACAGGCGGTATCTCGAACAAATATTAGTATATTTAGGATATGATCCGTATTACCTCGGTAAAAAAAAAGAAAAAAGACTTCTCTTATAATCTTGAGGATTTACCCGCGTCAAGGCGATCCACGTCATTAACTGGACCTGCAGACCTCAGATTATACATGAGCTAGAAGAAAGCTGTCAAAATGTCAATCATTCAAGTTGGGTCAAGCATTTAGGATCAAAAGCAGCATTAAATGTTTCTGCTGGGTGAGTAGTGAGTTGTGCTATTTTAAGTGATAAATCTGTGATAACGATGCTATGCTAACAACGAGCTAACTCATGTTATTTTATGAGCTTAAGTCTCCTGGTAAATAATTTATTTAGCTTCTGTAAACCCAAATTCATGCTGGAGTTGTACGTTAATGTGGAATCGCTGTAGGACGCTGGATTCAGGTCCAATGTAAGTCAACGATTCGTACCGATCTACAGAAACCCCGGTATTCTGTTCGTGGCCAGACACGAAGCATGTGGGTGAATAGTCACAGCTCACGGTGACTGTATGGCTGGATAGGTCAAGGTATAATTAATTTATTTGGCTTTTTATTTATTTTTTAGCATGAAAGTTCCACTGAATAAACATTTTCTGTTCGTGGCTCGGCACTTAGCTAGCTGCTAACAACATTAGCACTCTGAGTGGATCCACTTTTCTCCTCTTTTTTCACTACGTTTTTTAAAATTAACTCCCATGCGACCAACTACCTTTGAAACACAAAAATAACGTTTATATTTTTCTCTATTTGAACGGTTGGAGCAGCAGTAAAGGACTCAGACTGTAGACATTTTGATGCTAGTTCAACAGAAATAAAAGGGCGGAATTTATTTCCGAACCTCTTCATCTGCATTGGGTGACGTAGGTGCTACGTCATCTGAAACCCAGCAATTCCCCAACGTTTTTGGATACTATAGTAAAACCTCGCCTTGTCTCCTCTATCCCACTGCTCTTGCTATTTCTTCTTCATATACTCTTTTATAATATTTTTTAATTTCATTTTTACTTATTTTAATATTTAAATCAACAATATTCTTTTTTGAAGCACTCTTAGCAAAACTATCAGCCAACTCATTTCCTACCACACCAATGTGGGCAGGAATCCAAACTAGTTTAACTTGAGAACCATGATTTTTTATCCTGAATATTGAGTGAATTATATCCAGTATAATATTTTCCCTTGATTCTGAGTTTACTTCTTGAATACTAATTAATGCCCTACCTGAATCTGAACAAATTATAACCTCTCTTTTTTCCACTTCCTCAATCCATTCTAAAGCCATTCAAATTGCCAATGGTAATTCAATTTATCTGTTATTCTTTTATTTCTCATAATATTCTCTTTCTATATAACTCTCCACTTCTTTATTTTTTAATTGTCTCCTTTTTTCAGTAAATTTAAATCAACTTCAGCCTGTCCAGAGATCCATGATGAAATAACAGGAATAATGTTGAGAAAAAATGATTATTTTTAGTGTTTAATACAGTTTAATCTTTTTTGAACAAATTTATTAATTTAGAACAGGTTTGTGTTAATGATTTAAAACTAAAACTATTGCTGGGTAAGTATTCAACTTACAGGAAGGAAAATAGAGATCAAAAGGGAACTCTCACTGAGGCTCCTGTTGTGTTATCAGAGAGGAGAGGAGCCCATAAAATTAGCATCTGCAGGAAGGCAGTATCATTTGGATGAGCGTGGGAGAGAGAAGTTTGCTCGGTTCACGGAAGATCAAAAGTCTTCCAAAACTAACATCTGGGACGGTGTAAAACTGAATACAACATAGAATGTTTAAAACCACTAACATTTATTTTGTTAGACATTTTTCTTAGTTATTAATAGCATGCTCTGACTGAAAATAGTTTAACTGTAGTTTTAGAATTACTAATGTAGTCAGTGATGAATGTATTTTGAAATTTTATTATTTGCTACTATATTGGAATCAAATGGAAAAGTGTGTGAATAAAAATATTTTGTTTAGTATTAGAAAATTGCTCAGGTTTATGATGAAAGGGTTTTGGAAAATGATTATGTTAATTTTTATACTCGGGATTGAATATTATATTTGATAGGTCAGAAAAAGGAATTTTTATCCCATTCTGTTCTGTTGATTTTATGTATTACTTTTGGTTTATGCCAGGACTCATTCTTTTGAGGTTCTGAATGCAGAAGAAAAAAATCAGGTTTGTGGAGATAACCTTTGCTGGAACTAATTACAGAATTTAAGTTTGTTCCTGAGGTATCTGAGTAGGGAGAAAAGCGGGAGAGATTCCAGATTTCACAGCTATCTGTGAAATACCTTTCTCTGTTTCTCTTTGCCCAGATGGCCTTAAAACCGCAGGAGTTCAGCACAAGCTCTCCTCTCCTTTTGTTAAACAGAGGTGACAAAGTGGTCTTTGATCGTGGAAGCAGAATGGTAAGGAGGTTCCAACTTTAAAGAGGGTCCAAGATAGCTTCCAGTTGGTCAAGCAGAGGTACAGCTTAGTTAAATATATTAAAGAGGAGAAACACGCCTTTGCTATAAAAAGTTTGTACACACGAGTAACAAATCAGATTGCTGCCTTATTTTGATTTTTTGCATCAGCACTCTCCAAAGACTTGTCTTTACCTTTTTTTTCTCTATTTGTCTCAGGTAAAGTAATGTATGACTCTGTTCTGCAGTTTTCTGTTGTCATTTTATGTGTTGTTTTCTATTGGATTAAACCAGGGGTCCCCATACTTTTTCCTGTGAGGGCCACATAACTTTTCCTTTCTCTGGTGGGGGGCCGGAGTCAGTTTGTAACAGAAAAAGTGTGACGTTTGCAGGAGTGCCTAAATGTAAAAATATATTGTTTTCCAGAAAGCACAATCAAATAACATTCTCTGGGTTCTTCACAGAAAAAATCCAGTAAGGATAATAGTCCGTATTTTCCGAACTATGAGCCGCACTGGCCTATAAACCACAACCCCAAAGTTTTTTTGTTTTTTTTATAAACCAGTAAACATGCACATATAAGCCGCAGATATCTCTGCCGCTCCAGGTTTTCCACAACTATGCAGCAGCAGCAGAGGGGGGCGGACACCCAAAATTGAGTCATAACAGGTCAATTGAATATCACATTTATTAGGGTTGAAAAAGAAAAAGTTGCCAAGATTAGATTTAACAGAACTGATTATGGTAGTTTACGAACGGTAACTGTAACAGTAA